CGGAGCTGGTCATGGAGTAGAGAGGGAGCGAACGCGCCGGGCTTCGCCCAGCGCTTTCAGCTGGTTATAAGGTTCCCCATGCGAGTTTCGGGGGGCAAACCCTGCCCGGCCCCTAGGACCCCGGGTAAGGCCCAGGTGTGGCCTAGGGCATCAGAAGGGACCAAGAGGAGTCCAGTCTGAGCCATAGAGCCCATGTCTTCGCCCCCGAAGGTCGCGTTCAAATGCCCGGAACGGCCGTCACAGTGGTGTCCGGGTTGGCGTATGGGAAGGTGGGCACATAGACGTGCCGCTCGTCTGCAGCTTTTCAAAAAAAGTGATGTCGGCACCTGCCTCTCACGCATGCAGGCAGATCGCTACTATAGCTAGTTAGGAGCCGACCGACCCTCGCGTCCGGTGCTCACCGACGGCCATCCCCGTCCGCCCCCCTCACCCCCGGCCGCGACGGCGGCGGCGGCGTGCGCGGCCACGCTCGCGGCGGGCCTGCTCGGCCACAACGGCGGCTGGGACCGGCGGCGTCTCGTCTAGCACTACTCGGAAGAGACGGCTAAGCGCGTCCGTGCGGTGCCCATCGTATCGCTTGATCTCCCGGTACGCGGCCTCGGGCTGGGGCACCTACGAGCACAGACGACGCGAGTGAGTGACACTGAGTGAGAGCGCCGCCCGAGCCGACCCCCGGAGAGCAGGGGTCACGCCTGCACGCCAGCGCGACGCAGCGCGTCGAGGCTCGCGCGGACAGACTGCAGCGCAGCATGCCGGTAGTCGCCGGCCAGCCCGCCAGCCTGTGGCCACTGCGCGGCCCAGTCCACAGAGTCGTCGAAGATGCTCGGCACGTTGCCAACGGGCCGCGTGCGCAAGGCTCGGCGCACACGGGGGATGCCACCGCCCGGCCCTCGCACGTTGGAGTTGTTGTAGAGGTGCCGGAAGTCAGCGCACGCCACCTCGCACACCATGAAGAGGGTGAGCAGCAGGGCGAGCTGGTGCACGGGCTGCTCGATGTCGCACACGCCCGCCTCGATGATGGCGTTGGTGGCGCGTGTGATCGGGACCGCCTCCTGCGTGTTCCACTCCCCGTTCCAGCGCTGTGACGGGATTGAGGAGGAGTCAGTGTGGGCTAGGACGGAGCCAGGACTACCCGCGTACGCGCCTCGACACGCTGGTTGTGGACGGACGGCACGTCGCCCCGCACGCGCAGCCCTTGCTGCTCAAGAGCATACTTGATGAGAGCAAACTCGGTGCCCTGCAAGCGGACGACTACTGCATCAGGCGAAGAAGCTGGGCAGGGACGGGGCAGTACGGCCGCACCCCGTCGAAGATGTACACGTCCGGCGCGCGGCAGTCGTCGCCTCGGACACCCTCGAGGAACAACTGGTAGTGCTCCTCGGCCAGCTTTGTGAGTGCCGGCCGGACAGTCGGCAGCCAGTGAGTATCGCCGTCAATCTGAGAGGGTGCGTGGCGGCCGATTCGGATGGTGTGACAGGTGTGTGGGCGGGTTTAGTGGATCTGGCACCTCCGAGTGGATGCGGAGCTTGCAGATGGAGAACTTGCCGCCGAAGGCGAGCTTCTCGGTCAGGTCGATGTGCGTGTTGTAGCCGTAGTAGTGCGAGATATAAGGCCTGCGCTCGACTGTGCGCTGTAGCTCCTCCCACCGGCGACGGGAGGCGGCCGCGTCCACTCGGCGAAGCGAGGCCTTTACGCGGTCCTTCCCAATCTGCAGCGGCGCTAAGCGCAGGTTCACCCGGCCCGTCGCATACTTTGTGCCGTGCCGCTGGCGGCTGAGCTCGCCGCGATCATACAGATCCCTGACGATCGCATCGAGCTCCGCGGGCGTGCCCGCCCACGTCCGCTTCAGCCCGTGCTGCTTCTTCAGGTTCTCGACATCCGATCTGTCACAGCGCCACCCTTCGGCCGACAGGTGCTGTGCGATGTCCGCACACGAAAGACGGCTGTCAAGCAGCTCTCTGATTCGATGCGGCACCCACTGCGGCGCATCGACGTGCCGGAAGTGGCACCTCGGCATCGGCGCCGGCCAGGAGCGCGCGCTGTGGCTCCCGCGAGAGAGGGCGGTCGACGTGTGACACGTGGCTCCGCAATTTGCGAGAACTTGCTGTTTTTTTCTGCTTTTGGCAAACGCTTGCTTCGGCACTCACCGCCAGCGGCACTTCTATGGAACACGCGCGCCAAAGGCTTGTCTTCACAACTGGCACGCGCTTCTTTCATGAGGGAACCCGGACGGTGCGCACAATTTAACTCCCAACGTGTGTTGTCGCAATTTACCTGCTGCAGGCAAAAAATAAGAAAATGCCCCGAACAAGTCCGCCATACTACGACCCATGCTGGATCAGCTGAGCAAGGTTTGGGGAGAATCCCCCGGACTGGTCTTCAGATATTTTGACGGATGACCAAAATCACGGAAGTGCGTCCCTGCCCAGACCCGGCCCAGATGGCGAAGCGCCTCCGAGAGCCGGACCGCGCCGCTGGCGAGCGCCCAACGGTGAAGCTGAGCGGTGGGCAGCCCTGCCCTGACGGCCAGGTCAACCTGTGGCGGGCGGGAAAGCTGTGCGATGCGACGGTGCATGTCGACGGCCGAGCCTTTCAGGTCCACCGCGCCGTGCTGGCGGGCGCGTCCGAGTTCATGAGCGCACTCTTCACGTCCGGCATGCGCGACAGCGACGAGCCCAGCATCTCCGAGGTAGCGGGCGATGTCTTCTCGGCACTTCTCGAGTGGATCTACTGCGGTGAGTGCCGCGTCGAAGCTGACCTGCTCGGCGGCATGCTGGACGCGTCGAGCAGGCTGCAGCTGGCATCGCTCCAGAGCGCGACTGTTGAGGCCTTGGTCCAGGGCATCGACACATCCAACGCCGTGCAGTATTGGGAGTGCGGGGACGCCCACAACATCCCGCGGCTCGTGGAGGCGGCCAAGGCCGCTGCTCTCCAGTCGTTTGGCGAGTTCTCGACGTGCGTGGCCTTCGACGCGCTCCCCATTGGCCGCGTGTGCGAGCTGCTGAAGAGCGACGCCCTGAAAGCCGACTCAGAGGAGATTGTCTTCCGCGCCGCTGCGCGGTGGGCGGCGGCCAACTTATCCGCCTCTGAACAGGAGGTTGGGGCAGTCTACTCGCACGTCAAGTACGGCCTCCTGCCTGCCGCATTCCTCTCGTCGGTGGTGGAGCAAGACCCGCCTCTGGTCACCCACCCGCGCGGCGGCTGGATCGTGGCGCGGTCGCTCAAGGCGCACATCGATCAGGGCTCCTCGCCGCGAGGCCCCCTCGTCACGGTCCTCAATCCTGGATCGGTCTACGGCGGCTTTGAAGCCATGGCCGTGCATCTGGGCGTGCGAGACGAATGGGATCGGCGCGCCGATGCTGTCGCCGGCGACAAGGGTGTCCCGCTGGCTATGGGGCAACGCAGTTCCTCTCCGGATGACAAAGTCGTGGCCGTACGGATTCTGCGCACTGGTTCGGTGATTCTCATCGGACAGCTGGGGCTGGAGCTGGTGCGTGGAGCGTGGCCTGCTTCCAAGGGGAGGCCCCCACGCTAGCTCCGACAGCGCGCCCCACAGCGCCCAAACGACTGCTCGTACTAGTTGTCGAGCTCAGAACCCAGTTCCGGCAACCCGTTCTTGCCATTACTGACGGCGGTGGGGTACGTGACAGCTGGCGCATAAATAACACGATTTAAAGCACATAAATAACACGCACAACGAGCAAGTTGGTAAGACCCCGTGGTTCAAGGTCCTTCTCGTCTCGTGCGCCGCCGTCGTTGGCGCGTCTGCTGCGCGACTGTAGCGCCACGAAGGCGCATCATTTTTGTGCTGCCGCAGCCTTCCAAGACATACTAGTTTTTTAAAGTGCTCTACAACATAGGCACAAAAGATATGGCATTGCAGGCCATTTAGGGCCCTTAGACGGTCACTGAGTAGGCCAAAATCCCCACTGGGCCGGGAGCAACCTTAAGAACATCGAAGGATAGCTCAGAAAAACTACAGCCCAGCTTGCTCCGAGGAGAGGGGCGTCGCAATGTTACAAACTAAGAATTTTACAAAGAAAAGGTTACCGAGGGTTGGTTCTGCGCTTTGGGTGTCCCCTAGCGGCGGAACGCCCCCTCTACTCGGAGCTATTAAACACCAGACATGAACACGACACGAGCACGACGTACACCCTCGCCCAACATCACCGCTCAGGGCTCCTCCGCCCGGTCTCTCTCCCCACCCCATCCGAAGGGGCTCCCCTCTCCTCCCGGTCCTTCCTCTTGTTCGCTTTCCGATGGTCAGGCGTCGGCTGCGGAGCCCGCCTTCCCCTCTTATACTTCGTCGACCGCGTCCCCGCCGCCGTCTTGTCCTCCCCGTCCGGCCTCGACGATCCCGCCGACGGCGATCCCGTGTCTGACTCCCCGGGCGAGGGCGGCGGCATTGGATCGTCCCGCCGCACCTCCTCGGGAGGTCGAGCCACCTCTCCCTGGTCGGCGACACGCGCCCGCACCCGCGGCCTCTCTACCGTCTTCGGCTCGCCCTCCCCTTCCGCCGGCTCCTCTTCAGGCTCGGGGAGGCGTGGCCCTCCCTGCCGAAGATCACGGCGGCCCAGCTGCCACCGCGGCGGGTCTTCCCCCGGTGTGGGCTCGTACGTCCCGGTTCCACTCGCAGAGGCCGCGTCAGCTCATCTCTCGCTCCCTCCGACAACTGACCCCAAGCCCCTCCTGGGACCCTCTGGTCTTGGCCCTCCGGTTCGCCGGCGGGCCCGCCATCAGATCGCGGCACCTCCCCTGCCCCAGCCCCTCCTCCCGGGTACTCCAGCCTCCGGCGGGGCGGCCCTGGATCCCCTGGGTTATTCCGAGTGGGTCCATACGGCGGCGGCCCCGCTGGCGGCGGGGGGGGAGGCGGTGGCGGGGGTGACGGGTACAGTGGCGGCCCCCGCGGCCGTAATGCAGACCGGCGCGCAGCGTCGGGGCTTGCCTTCACTCCCCATCAACGTGACCGCGACGTTGATTAATAACCGAACGAGAGAGCGAGAGAGAGAGCGGACTTATTTTTCACGGTGCCGCCCTCACAGGACAGAGGAGACGGGGAGGACATGCCACAGCCCACTGAGAGCCTCGCGGCGTCGTTCGGGGCGAGCGCGACCAATAGTGTCTACGTGCGGGGCCCAATGCCAAAGCAATACCGTCCGCCTCCCGTCTCCCCGCAATACCTCCGCGCCTGGCGTCGCGCGCCTCTTCCCCCACCTCCAGCTCCGCCCGAGCGAGGTCACCGGAGATCGACCCGAGATCGTCCCCGAGAGATCAGCCGAGTCCGTCCTGCTCGGCCTCCGCCGGCGCCTCCATTGTGCGGCTCCACTCGCCCGCCGCGCTGCGTGAGAGTGTGAAGGTCGGCCAGTACTTGAGGTCGAGCTTCAGGGTCGTCATGCGGAGGCGGCCCTCGAGGTCGACCGTCTTGACGCGGACCACCTGTTCACAGCCCGAGGTGTGAACAGACGCTGTTCCACACCTCGAGGTCGGCCGTCTGGACGCTGTTCACACCTCGCCGTCGGCCTTGCCGCGTGTGCACTCGAGCAGCGCGGCGAGGGTCGGAGTCGGCACCGAGTCCACCTCGATGATGTGCGAGGTGGGGGACAGGTCGTACCGGCTCGACGGCGAGCCGTAGAAGCGGTACGACGCGTAGACGCCGCCCTGCGCCGGCACAGACCGCTGCGCGCGCACGGCGTCCGGCGTCTCCTGCAGAAGCAGCCCGGCCCACCTGTTCACAGCTCGAGGTGTGAACAGATCTGTTCACACCAGTCTCCTGCAGAAGAAGCCCGGCCCACCCCAGCACGCGCGTTGTCCCCAGCCCGTCCGACGGCAGCATCGGCGCCGTCACTGCGAACGGCGCGCCGTCACGTACCACGCCCAGCTGCACCGACGCACTGGCCTGCGACGCCGCCTCCGCCTCGTTCAGCGATCGCACCGGCGAGCCGTCGACCGTCAGCAGCAAATCGCCCCCGCGCAATGCGCCGCCACCGCCGCCGCCGCCGCCGCCGCCGCCGCCGCCGCCACTACCTTCGCCGCCGCCGCCGCCGCCGCCGCCGCCGCCGCCGCCGCCTCCGCTGCCTCCGCCGCCGCCTCCGCCCACGCTGCCGCACCCCTCAGCGCCCGCCGCGGCCGTCGGCGGTGACGGCGCGCCCTGCTGCTGCACCCCATGCACGTGCGTCACGAGGAGGACGCTCGCCGCCGGCGCCTAACAGAAGGAGCCCAGCACACGGGGTGGAACAGAAGAAGGCCGTGGACGCAGGACGCTCGCCGCCGGCGCCGTCGAGTCCGCGCCGCCGCCCGCGCCGCCCGCGCCGGCCGCGCCGGCCGGTCCGCCCGCGCCGGCCGCGCCGGCTGCAGCCACGGGCGTTCGCACGTGCGCAGCGAGTGTTGCGTCGTCAAGGCCTAGCTGGCGGGCCGCCGCGAGCGAGATTGGCTCGAGAGTTGCGCCGATCGACCGCCACGGAGGCGGCGCCTAATCTCGCCCAATCTCGCGGGTAATCTCGTCCAATCTCGCGGGTAATCTCGTCCAATCTCGCGGGTAATCTCGTCCAATCTCGTCCAATCTCGCGGGTCGGCGAGGGCAGTCTCTTGTCGCCACGCTGTGGAGGCCGTCTTCGGACGTGTCTCGGAAATGACTCGGAAGTGTCTCGGACGTGTCTCGGACGTGTCTCGGAAATGACTCGGAAGTGTCTCGGACGTGTCTCGGAGGGGGAGCCTCGTCTGCGATCAGCTTGTCGGCGACGCGCGCGACCAGCTCGATCGGTAGCCTACGTGTTGGATCGGGGCAGGAAGACGGTATTGTGCAGCGTCTTCAGAGCACCGCGTGAGCACAACGGAGAAGAGTACAGTGAACACAGCGGAAGACGGCCGAGTACGGCGGAATACGTGTCCTCTCGAGTGCTGGCTGGGAGACATGAACACGTCTCCCCCGCTTCTAGGATCGGAAGCCCGCGGAAGACCGACGCGAGCTGGTTTGGCGCCGGCTGGTAGGCGCAAGAGACCCACAGCGCGGCCACCGTGCCGTCGTCCGAGGCGAGCACGCCGCCGTCCACGGGCGGCGCGACCTCGAGGCCGAGCGTCTCGGCGTTGTACACCTGGAAGCGCGGCGGGTTGGGGAGCGGCAGCTTGATCCACCCAGAGTTGGCGACGCGCGTGCGGCGGCAGACAAAGTCGACGCGGCGCGACGCGTCGATGTCCTCGTTGAGGCCCGACTTCAGCCCGACGATCACCACCTGGCGAGTGAGCGAAGCGCTCGTTAGTCAGGCAGCTGGCGAGGCCCGACATGCGCGCGGCGGGTCGCACAAGCCTAATGACTTCGTCAGGCCCGGTCGGGCCCTTCATTAGCGCCGCCCGACGCGAGCGCGGCGAGCATTACCTCGGCACCCGGCGGCAGCGGCCGCGGCGCCAGCTTGGCGGCGGACACCCTGACGTCCGCGGGCACGCAGGCTGGGTCGTACCTCAAGAGCGCAAAGTTGTGCAGCGGGTGCACGTACTCGACGCGCGCCGCGACGGTCACGCGCCCGCCGAGGGTCAGGGACGCGTCGCCGAGGGTCGACGTGACGGTGTTTCGGTCCACCGCCACCAACCCCGCGGCGGCGTCGAGGACGACGCCGGTGCCTCGGTAGCGCATCCCCGTCTCCCCGTCGATCGAGAAGGGGCGGAAGAAGTCCACCGTGACGAGCGCATCGCGGAGGGCGGCGGAGGCGCGGGCAATCGAGCCCTCGCGGCCGGCGGGGGCGGTGCCGCCACCGCCCTCCTCGCCCTCGCCAGCTGCGGCGAGGGCGGCGCCGGGCGGCGCGTCGACGGCGGCTCCGGTGGCCGCAGCGGCGGCTGCAGAAGCGGCGGTGGTGGCAATGGCGGCGGTGGCGGTGGCGGCGGTGGCGGCGGTGGCGGCGGTGGCGGCGGTGGCGGCGGTGGCGGCGGTGGCGGCGGTGGCGGCGGTGGCGGAGGCGGCATCGGCATCGGCTGCGGCAGCGATCGCTCCGACAGGTGCAATCTGAGGTGGCGACACCGCGGTGGCGTCCGGCTGGGCGGCATTCAGCCACCCCGTCGCCTGCCCGAGCGTCCCAGTCTGCCAGTCGCCGACAGGAGGCCTCCGCCCGGACTGTGGCGCGAACCACTTTGTGTCGTACCGGACCGACACCAGCTGCGTGTGCGCGCGCGCGCCCAGGTCGGAGTAGCGGACCGTGAGCGGCGTGCCGTGCGCCGCGCCGGCGAGCGTCGCCACAAAGGCGGCGAGGGTGGGCGTCGGCTGCCCGTTGACGGCGAGGATGATCGAGCCCTTGGAGAGGCGTGCCTGCCGGAAGATGTAGCCCGGGTGCGCCACGTACACGCCGCGTGCGGGGAGGCCGTGGTTGCGCGCTTGCTGGTAGGACAGCTCGTTGACGACCGCGCCGCCAACCTCGACGTAGCACGACGGCGTCAGCGCGTGCAGGTCCGCCACCGGCACTTCCACCTCCCTCGCCTCGCCGCCGCGCACCAGAGAGACGGCGACGGCGCCGCCGACGGCGCGATCGAGCGCAGCCTCCAGGGCGACGAAGGAGGTGCACGGAGCGCCTTTGAGAGAAGAGACACGCGGGAGTGAGAGGACAGCCGAAGGGGGCGCGGGTGGGTGGTGGTGGTGGTGGTGGTGGTGGGTGG